AGTTCCAGCATCATGTGAGCTGTGATATGTCAGTCTAGAACGGAGGTTTTCAACAGGAGGGGGTTGCGGACCCCATTTTTAACACACCTGAATTGAAAAGCTCAATCCATTCAGCCCATTAGAGGCATCGTAACGAGCCATTCATTTGATTCAGGTGTGTTAAAAATGGGGTCCGCAACCCCCTCCTGTTGAAAACCTCCGTTCTAGACTGACATATCACAGCTCACATGATGCTGGAACTAAAGAGTTACAGGAAATCTTTGCAACCTGCAAGATAGCATGGAGTAGCAAGAAATGCTTTAATGAATACATGAGTAAAAGAGGATAATTATGTTCTGTCTTGCTGTTAATGTTATGGCAACCAAATGAATGCTGGCCAAGCACATGAAAGCATTATTATGCTAATCAAGGCAAAGTCACCATATTGGCATTTTCTTAATCAAATACCATCGTCTAGATCTAAACTATTAGAATGAGGGCTTATCTGGGATATACCATGTAGAAGACAAAAAAAGGACATTTGTTCTGGGTTGAAGGAGTAACAACAATTTACAGCATGAACTTTACACCAAACTTGGAGTTTAATTTGCACATAATGTCATTAAAGGTGTTGAAAAGACACAAGACTTTTTGTTTTGAGTATATTTTTATATTTGCCTTTAATGGTGTGGGCAATATGTCACAATTTTGATTAAAGCTCTGAAAGCTGAGCATGAAAAAGTTTAATGCAAGTTTAATGTAGGAAGAAATAACAGTTAGATAAAACAACAAAACAACCATTTACCAGTTCATGATGTCAAAGATTAATCCAGCGTCCAAATTTTGCTCAGTGATTTCCAAAAATCCAAACTCTGGATGCTCTGACACACATGCAAACAGCTCAAGCCGTAACTACCTATGAGAAGGCTCAGTCTTCACCAAGATGTTAGCCCTCCCATGTGCCAAACTCTTCTTCTTGTCACGAGAAACAGCAGTTGGTAGGCGTGAGGATCGCCGTACCAGGGGGTCAACCCGTTCACCCCGAGACATAATGAATTAACGATGGAGGGTGTGCTGTGCGCTGCTAGGCCTGGTCCCCCCAGTCCTCTAAAGCTCTGAAGCTTCCTGTGGCTGCAGGCTGTCCAATGGGGTGTTCCCCTTTGACACACACTTAAATACACACAAATATCTCATCCTCTGCCCTGGAGACACCACTGAGGCCAGCAGGTGCTGTCTATAGAAAGCTTGCCATACTACAACTGTACATGATAAGTATGGCAAATGTGAATCCATATCTGGATCTATGAATCTGCAGAAGTGATCATTTGATAAGATGAAATTCTTAAAATAAGTTTGATCTAAACAATAAATTATTCAAGGAGCTGATTAGAGTTTTAAATAATAGTTAAAATACATGCAGTGTTTAAAAGAATCTGTAATTATTGCAGAAATTCAGTCTGATATTATCATTTCCATCTCTGTCAGGACATCAAACCAAGAATTAATTTCCTGTCCAGATTTAAAATAGGGGTCTTAAACATAGACTCAAGATTAAAAAGCATTTTCATGAACCAACGATTTTCAGTTTTAGTCCTTGTTGTCCTTCAACATTTATATGTATCCTTGGTCAAACATACCGGAACCACATATTTCAAATGATTGAAATCAAAGTCGTGTTTTTCTTGAAATAAGGGGATTTTTTTCTTGAATTAAGCAGCTAAGGGTGACAGTGCCAATGGAACAAGAAAATTTACACTTAAAGTAAGAAAAAACAATTGCATTTTCTTATTTCAAGTGCACAATATCTAATTACTTTACGAGTAAAAGTACTCTAGAACTATTGGGAAATCGTTTCATTTAGTTTCTCAAATTAAGGGTAAATACACTTATTTAAAGAAATGTTTACTAATATTCAATTCTTGCAGTGTATCGCTGAATTGCTTGCACTGACATTTTCTCCAGATTCCTGCCAACGATACGTTCGATCTAGGTGTGGAACAGGATACTGGGTCTGGAGCTGGGGTGGATCTGGAGGGGTGGTCATGGCACCCCCTGGCCACCTCTAAAGCAGTTCTCCATTAAGCCTCATAGTGGCAACAGTGATACCATGATGTGGAATTTCCTACTTTGATATTTTAAGCCTTCCCTTCTCACTTCTAGTTCCGGTTCATCAGCTCTCTGAGTTCCAGATTCAACTTCCTGTGATTCTCCTCAATAAACCTGTTTAACTTTCCCTTGGTTCTGTGAATGGTTTTCTGCATGTGGGTCAGATCACTTAAAAGCATCACGACAAGGGGAGAGAATGCCTCTGCAGTCACCTGCTACCTACCATATATTATCTAGAACCATAAATTAATTTAAAATGGCACTAATGCATAAATATGTGCAAAGCTTTATCTGCAGGGAACCTAATGAAAATCTGGTCTGTCTGGAAAATATAGATTTGATTTTCCTGTCGTTTTATTTCCATCAGTATAGAATGAACATAAAATGGTTTTGGTACCGAATTTTCTGGAACCGCCACTGGTCAGGTATCATGCTAATGTGGCCACCTCTGAAAATCCCTTAGCCACCTCTTGGTAACCCCAGCAGAAATTTACTAGAACCGCCACTGGTCTGGAGGAGATGAAGATTTAGACTTTAGACTTTTTTTTTTCTCTACAAATCGTATGTTGACAGACAATGGGAGCTTGGCAACATACTTTAATTTAAAGGAAAATATGGTAAAAAAAAAAAAAAAAAATTTAGTCAGGGGACTCCAAAGTGCTTTAAAGTAGATCACTATGAGGTTACACTCCTTCCTGTTGGAGTAGCTACACGTTTTCTAAAAAAAAAAAAAATATATATATATATATATATATATATATATATATATATATATATATATATATATATATATATATATATATAGTGATACAGGGATATCTATTCGGGTTCCGAGGTAAGACTAGAACACCTCATATGCCTGGAAGCTGCATAACCCAACCACCCATTTTAATCCAAGCGATGCCCATTGGGCTTTGTTCGTTGTTTTGACTTTTTAGAAACATTTGTATTTTCCTACAAAACCCTTTCAAGCCCATAAAGCCACACTGATACTCTGTGGGGTTGTTTTAGAGTCTCAGATTAGTTCCAGTCAAATATTATTCATACCCTTCACTGCTCTATCAGCAGTGTCTGAGGCTTCTGCGCTCGATAGTCTGAATCAGAGATCTTTGCAGCTGTTATTTTGTTGGTTCAACAGTTCAACCTTACAGTAGAGCTTTTTGGCAGAAAGTCAGCTCAGCAGTACGGAGGCAGTAAAAGGAAAGAGGTTTGGCCTTGTGTGATGTAAATAGACAGAGCGGAGCATCTAAAGGAAGGTCTGCCATGCCACACATAAGCAGCATTCTCCTGAGCAGATTCTGTTCCTCCGCTGCTCCTTTGGCAGGACCATGCTCTCCGCATGCGTAAAATCCTCTCCATAAATTCAGTTGCCCTCTGTTTATAAGCAGAGGTGGGTCAGCAATAGGATCTCGTCAGCTTCCATCTGTTTAGGGTAGAGGGGTTGGAAAGCTGGGGTCAGTGGCATGCGTTTTAGTGTCAGAGGTTATCAGGGGAACAGCTGGAGACGGTTTTCACACACATGCACATGGTGCACAGTTTAGATGGTGGGAAAGTTGAGCGGATGCCTCATTAGCGTTGTTTCGAAATGATGTATTTGCTGAATAAAGTGGAATAGATTGATTCAGTCGAGGTGTTTGTACGCTGCTTCGTTTCCACATATTCTCTTTGCCTTCTTTGTCTCTACAGCCGCCCCGGACTACTCGTTCTGGAGATCGAAGCAAATGTCAAGCGGACAATCGTGTCTGTCTGCTATCAACTCAGCTGATAATCTGTGAATCTTTAGGAGCAAATGGCTCTTTGACCTTTCAACTGAAAGAGCATGTTAGTGGGTAACATGATCTTTAAAAACCTTCAATGTTCACGGATTAATTGTTCCAATTTTAATTTTCTTGTATTTCATGACACTTCACTAGTAGTTAATAGACAGGAAATGGTGTCTACATCACACACAGATTTATTGATTGGCTAAATCGGGGGGGAGGGGGCTGTACGCATGCAAAGAAGACAGCTTAACATAGAAAAGATATCTAGTGTTTTTGTTATAATGTATCTACTAGACTGGGTGTGTACAACCTTTCATATCCAAAGAGCGATTTTTCACTGAGTCAGACTATGTAAAAGTCAT